AAGAGTCCAACGATAAAAGACATCATATACATAATGCCACTTATATCAACTTTTTATAATAGGCAAACCCATACAGATAGAAAGTAGTTTAGGATTTGCCTGGGGCTGGGAGTGTTGATGGGGAAGGCTGTTAATGGATACAGGGTGTTTGTTGTTTCAATACAAACCCTGTATTGAAAGTGTTCTCAAATTGATTGTGATGACAGTTGCTGAGCTCTGTGAATATAGTGACAATCAATGAATTTTATGCTTTAAATCGGTTAAGTGTATTCTTTGTGATTTATACATCAATAAAGCTGTAACAAAAAGATTTCTAGAGATAACTTGCCAAAACTGACACGAGATGGAATAATGAATCTGAATCATTCCACAGTCATGACAGCTATTTATCAAAAGTCAAAATGCTTTCCACACCCACACCCACACCCATACCCACACACACACAGCAGGATTCCCCACCAAATTCTGATAAAGGAACTGGAAATAATTATCTTCACCTTGATACAAAGTCCTGCAGAAAATTGAAAAGATGGGACACTCCCCAACTCATGATATGAGCTTGAAATAATCACAATACCAAATCCTGACAAGGGCACATAGGAGAGGAAAATCCCAGGTCAATCACACACACCCATGACAAAAGCAAAAGGTAGAAATAGAATATTAATGAACTGAATCCTACAGGATATATAAATGAAAATATAGGATATACCACAACTAAATGGGATTCATTCCATGAATACAAGTTTGATTTAACTTCAAAAAATAATCCAACATAATTATGCACACTTATAGATTAGAAAAGAAAAACATGATCTTTATATTCAGAAAAGCAATTAGGAAAGTTCAGTATCCATCTGATTTTTTTTTTTTTCTTTTGGTACTGGGACTCAAACTCAGAACCTTGCACTTGCCAGGCAGGTGCTTGTGCCACTGAGCTATATCCCTGGCCCTGATTTTTTTTTTTTTTTTTGGTCTTTTTGAGACAGGGTCTCACTATGTAGTTCAGGCTGGCCTTGAGCTCACTTTGTAGCCCAGGCTGGTCTTGAACTTGCAAGGATCTTCCTGCCTCAGCTTCCTGAGTGCTGGGATTACAGGTGTGAGCCACCACGCCTGGCCTCAATATCCATTTGAGATGTATTGTTTACACTTTTTCCCTAAAAAGTCAGAATTATGGACATGTAACTTACACATACTCTCATGGAAGCACGGTTACAATTAAAAATATACAGTATTTACATCAGTCTCTAAATTCCTTCCTGTTCTATGACAATTAACCCTTTCACTTGACCCCCAGACCCTGGCAACAACTGCTGTTTTTCCATCCCCATGCCTTTTGTCTTTTCCATGTCATATAAATGGAACTGTGCATAGGTAGTCCTTTGCATTCAGCTTCCTTCACAGAAATGTACACGGGTAGGACTTCTAAAGGTGCAATGAGGCGGGGGATATAGTTCAGTGGCACAGCACCTGCTTAGCAAGCACAAGGTCCTGAGTTCGATTCCCGGCACCAATTAAATAAATAAATAAATAAAGGTGCAATATATAATCTCTGGACCTGGTTTGATAATATTTTTTGGAAGCAGGTTTTTACTAAGTTGCCCAGGCCTCAATTCAGGATCCTGCTACCTGAGCTCCCCGGTGACATGGTGAGTACCACTGAGCCCACGACTTTATAGTTACTTGCCAAGTTGTAGGCTTTTCCTGTACTTGTGATCTTATGTTTACCTTGATATTATTTACTTTTGTACCCTGGTAAAGGTTATTCTTTAACACCACTCATTAATTCTTTAAGTATCAGTGAGTGGTGCTTGGAAAAGTCAGGAGAGAGTTGGAGAAGTCAGGTCAGTCCCCGAGGCCTGTGACAGCAGGCTGGGCTGGGGCAGGTGGGAGGGCTCCAAGGCTGTCAGGCTGTGTTTCTTGCTCCCCATGTGGGTACCAAGACTGGCACCCTGTGCAGCCACCAGGTGCTGCTGTGTGCTGTGCTCCCGTGCACGGCATACTGTTGAATACCACAGGAATGGTTTGTATGGCCACCTTGACCACTAGGGTACACTCAGTGGGACATTGCAAATGGGGCCGTTTGCTGCATCTTTAGAGGAAATGCATATTGGAGGAATGTGAATGGGGAAAGAACTTCTTAGAGACTGAGGAGAGAGAGGCAGGAGGTCATCCAAGGTCCCCCAGGAGGTTGTGACAGTGAGGATGAGAGTCGATGGCTGAGGCGGGGGATATAGTTCAGTGGCACAGCACCGGGACAACTTTCCCACTGTGGTGTCACCTCACGCCCTGGTGTGCAGCATGCTGGGCTGTCCCATAGCGGGGGAAGACCGCCCTCACCGCCTCTCCCTGGCTGGCTTGGCGGCCTGCACTGCGTTGGCCTTGGTGGAAGCCTGAGGAGATCGCCTCTTCTGCCCACAGATTTAAAGCTTGAGTTTGGAAAGGAACAGTGGGGGCCAGGTTGCCCATCCAGTACAGGTGGGATTTGGCTCAGGACACCACAGTGTGGTTGCGTCCAGGGTGGGCATACATGGTTCAGCCCGGCTCCAGGGCTCGCTCTGAGCCCAGCAGTAGGCTGCAGGATGGCACTTGGGCTCTCAAGGCCAGCCCCAGTCCTCCTAGCTGGCACAGGAGGCTTGAGAGAAAGGCTGGGGGAGGGGTGCGATGTCCTCTTGTCCGCTGGGGCCCGGATGGATTTCTATCTCCAGCTTGGATTTGTCCCTTATTCCCCTAGGACCACAGGCTCAGCATTATGACACAGTTGTTAGTCTGAGTACAGAACTGAGAAGCTGTCTGGAGTGCACAAGCAGGCTGCCAAGCTAGTCACCAGGGCTTGTGCTGCTGCCCTGCCGGCTCCTTCAGCATGCTGAGCCCCGCGTGACCACGGCCCGAGCCTCCCAGGACAGTGCCTGTGTGGAATTCATCCCAGCTGAAAACAGCCCAGATGTCTGGGGTGACAGAAACCCCAGCTGCAGTCTATTGAGCTTCTTCACTCAAGACACCAGGCCTCTGTGTTACCCCTCCAAGAGAGCCGCTCAGCCAGAGTCACAGCCGCAGCCCACCTTCTCAGTTGGGGTTTGAAGTGGGTGGTTCATACCCCCACTCTCCATCCTTTCCAGCTGGTCTGTGACTGTCCTCCCACATGCACGATGACCTGTCTTCCTGAGCTCACCTCACAGAGCCCAGAAGAGAGGGGGGAGGGTATGGGGAAGAGGGTTCCCAGCCTGACCCGTCTCCACGGGCAGGCCCTCTCTACCTGCCATCCTCACTGTGCCCACCCTACCTGGCTCTTGGCAGCCGAAGGGTAGGCTGCCACCCACTGGAGCTGCCTGCTTCAGGCAATCAGCCCTCTGAGGGCGTCAGCCCACACATCACCATTCCACCAACCACAAAGGATGTCTGAGACGTCCTGTTCACCCAGAGTAGCACCAAGAGCCTACTCCAGGAGTGCCAACATTTGGATGACCCTGACCCCGTCCCTGGGTTTGGAGAAGTCCACTTCATCCTACCCCATGCCCTCCCACGTTTTGGATCTATGCTCGGGGCCAACTTTGCTTTTGTGTATCCAATCCCATGTAGCTTGTAGGACTCCCTCTCCTCTCTCAATCAGACCTTTCTCTCTCAAGGGTGATCACCCCCGATTCATTTGGTTCACAGCACACACACACGCCAACCAGCGGAAACTCACACTTTCAGTGCTATACCACCACTTGTCCCCTTGGTCTGTGAGACGCCCAGCCTCTCAGCAACGACAGCTGGCAGACCCACACTTGCCACAGCTCACTGCAATGGGATTATGTCTCCGAGACTCAGGTACCACCAGCCCTGGACCCCAGATAAAGGAAGCCAGTCCAACTGTCTGTGGATGTGGCTGACATCAGAACATGAGCCACAGACAAAATCTCCTGTGACCTCAGCACACAGTGTGGAAGATGGAGCTGGGACACACAAATATCTCTTCTAGGAAAATGTGTTCCAGGGGGTGTTTGGACGATTCCTGCCAGGGACCAGGCACGCATGCGCACACCGATCGTGTCCATTTACTTTAGGGACTGATGGGCCTTTTACAAACAAGGGCGAGAGCCGATCCACTGAAGGGCTGGTTGGCTGGCTACGACTTAAAGGATGTAGAATTTCTGGTCTCCGACCATCTATTCTGGCTGCTGGTGGGCAGTCTGTCCAGGTTTGCCCAGCAGTGCCAGCACACACGCAAGGCCCTCACCTCCAACCCCAAGATGAAACCCCTATTTTCTCTCCTAGTCCCCGGCCTTCCTTCTGCTCTGCCACACACTGGCATGTGACCTCTGCCTCAACCCTTCTATGGACAGGAAGGAGGGGAAACTGACAGGGTTTGGAACACTGAGTTTCAAAAGTGAGGGCTAAACTGGAATTTAAAAGACAGGCAATCTGGTTGACAGGTCCCTGTGCGTGGTGCCACCAGGGGGAGCTACAGAGTCTGAAAGAGGACTAAGCCCAGGAATCAGAAAGATGAGCACCCTATAACGCTGGTTGGAAGCAGTCTCAGGAGAGGCCACCAGGGGGAAGCCAGGAGAGAGATCAAAGATGCTGAGAAACAGTAAGGGAGGGTAACAGGGAAGGAGCAGGTCCAGGAGCCAAAGGAGGAAAGGGGGGGGCTCATTACTTCCTGCCAAACGTGGGACTCCTGGTGCATGTTGGAATGGGTCTGTCAGAGCCCAGAGAGGAGGATATTGGGAGAGAGCTCCAAGAGGGTCAGTGAGGGGAGGTAAGAACTGCTCCTAGGGTGTGCCCTGCCCACATAGGATCCAGGTGCAGGCCACCATGGGAAAGGGAAACCTAAGCCCAGGGCTCTTGCTCAGAGGCTGGCCTAGATGCCCCCCAACTTGCGGAGCTGGCCCACCACGACAGAGCAGGGGTACTGTACTTCATCTGCTCTGAACTGGGGCAGCTCTCACCTTTTCCTGCCCCACCTTCAGGCCCCATCCCAAAGAGAGAGGGCAGACCAGTAAACATGAGAGGTTCTTTAATTTGACTCTGCTGTGAACTTGGGTCAGCAGGGGGCAAAAGTGGGACAGGCTGAAGAACGGGAGGTGGAGAGCTTGACCTCGGCTCCTGGATTCCACAGGTATTAGCTGCTGGTCTCCTGTGAAGATGCTGGTTTCAATCTGTCAAGCAGAGCAGAGTCAGGGCCAGCTCCCAGCCCTCCCAAACAGCTGGGACAGTGAGAAGCAGTGTGGCAGGCATAGCACTCACTTCAAAGGGTCTGGAACTTATCAGTGAGGGACTGCAGGAGCGCTGAAACAGAGAAACATAACCGGCTGCTCCAGACACAGATACATCCCCCTTGCTGTCCCTGCAGCCTGACTACCCTCCAGCCTCTGTCCAAATCACCCTGGGGCTGACTCCCCCACCCATCACCTGCATGCAATGTGGAAATGCTTTCCACAAGACAGCAACGTGAACCAGGAGCTCCCAAGTGTTGAGGCAAGGCAAATCCCCCCAGGACTCGGTGAAGGTAAACATGAATACAATAACAAACACCATGCAAACTGCACTAAGCAGCACTTAAAGGAAAGTGCTCTGTGATCTGCTTGTGTTAGCAGAGCATACATGGTGTGGGTGAAGAGCACACTGTTCTGTGTCCACACCCCAGCAGCTGATGGACAGAAGGCTGCAGTGCCAGGCCTGCTCAGCGCACCCCCACTCCTACAGGAATGTCTGTCCTGTGATGCACCCCTAGCCCAGCCCCACCCCAGCCACCTGTCCCAAGACACTGAGTCTGTCTCTGCCCCCGCCCCGCCTCCACCCCTGCCCCAGCCTGAGGTCTGTTATACAGTACCTAGTTGATCTTTGAGGTCATCTATTTCTTTCTGCAGCATAACGCACTAGTCCAGCAGACGGGAGAAAGAGAAACGATGGGTAATATTCTGGCCCTTTGTCTCCTCATCCTCCCACTCACCACTAGTCCTTACATCCCCACATATCCCACAGCCCTGTGAGGAGACTGGCTCTGCATCCTCCAAGGAAAAAAAGTGCTCTGTCTCAGAGAGGTGCAGTATGCGCCAGGGGAGGAGTGCACGCTTCGCACTCACCAGAGAGCCTAAGGGGCACTCCTGCCAATTCAACCTGGACTTGAAGCCCACCATCTAGCTGGGGTCTGCATTTTTAGGAGGTGGAGAAAGTATTACCCGGGGGCAGCCCTGTGCTCCAGCGGGGGGCTGCTGACTTTCCAGAACTGGAGCATGAACAGTTGGTTCCTGGTCACCTGAAAGAGAACACAAAACCCAGCTCCCCAGCCTGGGATTGAGGTTGATAGGGCCTCACAGGACTTACAGTGAGGCAGCAGCAACCTCCTCTGCTGGCAGTAAACTGCTGCTCCACGGTGTGGGGCAAGCCTTCTTTGCCCCCCAGAGTCAGTCCAGCTGCCACCGTGGCTCTGGGTGGCAGCCGCCAGAGCTGCAGCTACATCTAGGCTCTGGGAGGAGCAATGTGGTGGGACAGGACCCAACCGAAAAGGCTCTGCTCCACTGAAAGTCATCTTCTGCACTTGACTTGGAGTTGGGGGCACTGCTACAAATCGCCCCACTGCACAAACTCCACGTGGAGGACCATGTGGCCTGAGGCAGCCCTGCCCATGGCCTGTGTCCTGAGGGAGTGCCACATGGGGAGGCAGGGAAGCCTAGGAGCGAGGCTGAGCCCCCCGAAGTAAAGGAGGCGGAGGTTTCCCTCCTGCACACCCCTCCCCTCCACTTGTGTTGTACCAAACCCACAGGACTCACCAGAGAGTACAGGGTCTTTGGGTGGGAGGCCTCCCTGGCTCACGGTCAAGCGCCGGGAGGCTGCTGGAAGTTCAGGGGCTCTGGTGTCAGCATCACCACTGACGAATTCTCTGCGATGCATGCTCAGGCAACGTGGCCCTGGCCTCTGTGTTGGAGGCTAACACAAAAATTTCTCACTGAGCACGAGTAGTGGCTGGGGTCAGCCCAGGAGGGAAATGCACAGGTTCACCTCATCAGCACCTTCTCTCTTAGCCCCAGGCCAGGAGGCAGAGCGGAGCCAGGGGAGAAATAGGGGGGTAGGTATCCAAAAAGCCAGGCCCTCTGCAAGGCAGGCTTTGGGAAGAGCTGGGAGGGAGGACTCCGAAGGTCACTGAGACTCAGCAGGACACGGAGGCTGGGTGCACCAGTCGCCCAAACCCAATCAGTGCCAGTTCGGCTTCCTGTCCCAGCCCCCTTCTGGAGGAGGGAGGAGGCAGAAATGGCACAAAGCGTATCCAGCAGTGCCAGGCACCCACCAGGTGCTCCCTTCACGTCTGACCCCACTACAAGGATCCCTGATTTGCCACTCCAAAGACACCCCCTGAGCGAGAGGCTGAGGGGGCAGGGGCAAGGCTGTACAGACTGGGGGTGGGGGCAGGGGGTGGTCTACTCACTTGGGTCTGCGGGACCGAATCACTATTTGCGCCTTTATCTTCTCCAGCCCCAGGCTGGGACTCCCTTGCTTTCCTGGCTGAGGATCTCTTCCCCGTGGAGCCCTGAGTGGACGGCTTGGCTCCGGAGGGCAGCAAGGCAAAGCCCTTGGACTTCCCCAGCAGCGGAACTCCCGAGATTGGAGGGAAGGTGGCTGGTTCCAGGGGAGTGGCTCTGAGCCTCTGCCCCCACAAGGGGAAGGCTCTCCCCAGGATAACCCTGGAGCCGCCCCCCAGGGACTTCTTTTCTTGCGCTTCCTTCTTCCTAGCTGCAGTCCTGGGCAGGCCCCCTGCCACGGTACCCGCTGCCGAGTAGCTGGGCTTGCCCTCTCCCTTGGCCCAGACCACATTGTGCATTTTCTTAGAGGGAGAGGCATCCGGCTCTCCTGCGGGCTGCTTTCCCATGGCGGAGGTGAGTCTTCGCGGGGCAGAGGTCAGGAGAGCGCCCCGCAAGTGAGGGACGCTGGCCTGCGCGCGGACGCCCGGGTGTCTGGCCGCGTCTCCCGGCTCCTTGGGGCCGCCGGACCGGGCCTGGCCTCTGCCCTTGCGAGAGATGCTCACCCTCATGGGCTGCACCTCGCTGAGCTCATCTGAGGACTTGGAGTCGGCGTCCGAGTCCGAGGGCGGCCGCCGGGCCGCCCAGCTGGCCGCCAGCCTGCTCTTGGTGCTGCTCTTCGGGTTCCTCCAGCGGCGGCCTCCCTCGGGCGCACCGGGGCGCGCGGGCGAGC